GATGCCTCTTGCCCCCACACACTCCCAGGCCTAAAGTTGGCTGCCTTCTCTGAGCTGAGTCATGACATCCAGGCCAGGGCCCTACCCCGGCGCCCCACCCCCACCTCCACCCCAGCGGTCCAGCCCTGCACAGCTGCCTTCTGGAGCAAGGTCCCCGGCAGCCACAGCACAGCCCCTCTGCAAGTGCATCCACCACAGCCCTGCCCATCCTGTGTGCATGTGGGGAAACCAAGGCAGAGTGGAGTGAGGTGTACAGAGGAGAGGATGAGGCTCTCTGCCAGACACTCAAGTCACTGTCCCGCTTCTGCCTGTGACTTAGTAAGCCACCTTCTCGGAGTCGCAGTTCCCATTCCCTGCCTGGCTGGGACAGTGCAGGGAAAGTGACTTTCATATAAAGGTTTGTGCATGGCAGGGCAGGGGGCATTCTGTGGGGACAGAGTGGGCAGGGGACGGAGACCCCCGGGCCTCATATCAGAGCCAGAGCCAGAGCCATGGCTGCCTGGTCAGGTGACCTGAGCTTGCCGAGGCCAAAATACTGGGACCTGTCCCTGGCTTTTTCTAAGTCTCAGTTTCCCTTTCAGTGCAGTGGGCACAGGAAGAGGGCTGGATTGGATACACGATCCCTGAGGGCCTTGGAGCTCTGACATTCCAGGACTCTAACCCTGAGACGCCATGGCTTGGCCTCCTCCTCCCTCTGGCATCTTGTATATTCAGAGCATCCCCGGCCCGCGCCCGCCACTGCCTGCCCCGACAACCCCCTCCTCCCCACAGCATGCCTTCCCCCATCCCCATCTCACTGCTGTTTGTGCCCAGCCCGCTCCTGCCACCAGGCCGAGGGGGCCTCTGTCCACTCGGGTGCCCACAGCCCCTCTAAACCCTACACCAGCTGGGTGGCAGTTCCCAGTCCTGCCCGTCTGCCTCATTCTCAGCTCTGAAAATGGCATGGTGCCCCCAGCACACACACACACACACTCCTGGCCCCCAATATTCCAAGTCAGAAACAGGAGTGGGGGCTCGTGTAAGCTCCTCTTGCTCCAGCACCCCAGCACCCATCACCAAGTCCTGTGGCTTCTCAGCTCAACAACTGTGAATGCCATCTGGCTCTATCCACCCTCCCTCCCCAGCCCGTACCAAGTAAGTGGAGAAGCTGGTGGCGGAGAGTACTCTGCTGCGGTGCAATCCCTGCTCTGCATTCCCAGGCAAGTTGGATAAGTGCTCCCTGACTCAGTTTCCCCATCTAAAACAGGAATGATCCTTGTATCCACCTCTCAGTGTTGGCTGAGGAGCAAGTAAGTCGATAGATGTCAAGAGCTCAGAACGGCAGCAGATCCAGTGAATGTGTCACACGCACCGGCTTGTGTTAGGCATTGTGGATGTGTGTGCAGGTGTGTTTGGGGCTGCTTGCACATGCTCTGTGCATATCGTATGCACACAGCTTTTGCACATGTGCACACTCCCATGGGCGTGTGGGCGGCATGCAGGCGGCCGGCCGGGCAGTGCGCACGTGTGCTGACATGTGTGCTGGAGGGGGGGGTGCTGGAGGGGGGCGGGTGCTCGCGCGGGTCTTGTGTGCACAGGCACAAGTTGAGCGCCTGCACGCGGGCTGGGCACACACATGGCCCGCTGCACACAGATGTGTTTCAGAGCAGCGTGTGAGTGAGTGCGCAGGCCGGGGTGTGCGCTGCGTGCATGCATGCTCACCGTATGCAGGCCCCCCTCTGCGGTAGCCACAGAGGTCCCCCTCCCTGGCCTCCCTGTGTCGTGGGAGTCTAGGGACCCCGAGGGAGGGAAGCTGCTGCTGGCGGATGTGGCCAAGAGGGACTGGATTTATTTAGATTAAGGTGGTGGGAAAGGAGTGGAGACTCGTATGAGCCAGAAGGAGGGAAGGCAGGGCTCGGATGGAATCCCCAAACGTGCTTGCTCCCCTGGACTCGAGGTCCTCCTTCTGCTCCCCCAAGGGGGACCTCTGATGCACTGTGAGGAGCTGGGCAATTACTCCACCTCGGGACCTCTGTCCCCCTAATCTGGCCAAACTGAGAGGAATCATGAGGCCTTCCTGGCACTCAGCACTCTCCTCAGGGCCCACGGGGGGGATTCCTGAGAGTCTCCTCCCTCTCTCGGTTTCGGGGGCCTCCCCAGGCAGGAGAGTATGGCAGATCAGAGGGTGCCTGACTGTGACATCCACCTTGCCCCGGGGGGCTCCTCCCTGGGATGCAGCCCTCCGCCTAAAGAAGGGGGCGTTGTCGCAGGCAAACCCACAACCTCCAAATCAGCTGCCTGGGCCTCTCTGGGGTTGGCTGGAACCACAGCAGCCTCTGGGAGGCACAGAGGTCCACAGGCGTTAGGTAGATGACGGGGGCCACCAGGGAGTCATCTAAGATGGGTTGGGACGTTAGGTCTGGGTGCCACCAAACTCCACTCTGGTCCTTTCCTGTCCTCCTCTGGGCTGTTGTCCATGCCACCTCTGAGGGTCCCATATGACCAGCTTACTTGTCTCGAAGTTCCCCTGAAAGACCGCCTGACTCCTAATTGTACAGATGGGAAAAGAAAGACCCAAAGAGGGAAACAACTCGTCAAAGTCCACACAGCACGTCTGTGACCAAATGGTCCCGGAGGTTCAATCCATGGAATGAGACGGGTTATGGATTCTCACATGACTCCAGCCTCACTAATGTAGCCCCCTCCTTCTCATTAGCCCTCACCTCCCTAAACCACCCCAGCAGGAATAATAGTCACTAGAACCTTCTCTCTGGACAGTCAAAAAAGCAGTTTTAGAACAGGGGTAGCTCTTTGAATTGACCTGTCCGAACCTCTCCCTGTATCCATAGGGAAACTGAGTCCCTGAGAAGGCAGGGGACTTGCTGAGTCTCCCAGTAAGTCTGTGCTCCCTTGTGACTAGAGCCAAAATGCTCATTTCCTAAGGAAGAGAAGTTAGTCCCAGATCCCTGGGGCGTCTACACTCTCTCTGAGCTCTTCGGCCCAACCTATCCTCTCCCTAGCCTGATTCTGCCTTTTCACTGTGTGACTAGGTCATGATTCTGTCCCTCTCTGGGCCACTGCCTGTTCAAGAAGGCCCCTCCTCAATCAGAGTCTCAAAGAATCTAAGCTGCCCCCAGCCTGAGGCCCAGCAGGAGAGGAGCCAGGGTCAGGGGATCTGGGGGCCCAGCCCGCATGGCCCAGCCTTCCAGAGCCAGGCCAGCCCTGGTTACAGTGACCTCCCATCTCCAGGCCAGCCGAACAAATTCCTCCTTTAGAATAATAAACAGTGTGGCCAGCCAGGGAGGCTGGGAGGGGAGGGGCAGGGAGGCTGAAATGACCCCCTCCCCCAGCCTGGGCTGCTAATGATTTTCTTTGGCTGAGATCTCGGGCAGGAAGGGGGGAGCCCGAGGGGCACCCACCAAGGGGCAGATGGGCCTCCGTGGGGGCTGCTGGCTCTGCCACAGCGCGGCTCCCTCCTGCTGGAGGAGGCCTGGCATCCAGCTGGAGGAGCTGGGGCAGGAGGGAAGAGAGTGGGGGTGCTGTGTAAGGGCTGGGCTTCGGGTGTGGGACAGTTGGGAGAGAGGAGAGGGGAGAGATGAGGGGAACCTCTCAGGGAGGCCAGAATGGGGGGACAGGAGGAAGAGGGAGGGCAGAACAGAGTGGCTCAGGGAGCTTCTTGGGGTGCTGGGCAGAGGGGAGACTGGGGCCCACCAGCCCTGTGAGTGGGAAGCTCCCCATCATCCCACTTTGAGGGCTGGAGACATAGAGAGCTGAGGAGATAGAGAGAGCAAGGGCAGAGAAGGGAGCCGTGCTGGGGCTCGAACCGGGACCCCAGCCTCAGATGGGAGAGTAAAAGGGGCAAGATGGTGAGTGGAGTGAGGGCAAGGTGGGTGCGGCTGGGCAGCCCCTCAGGGAAGTCAGCCTACCCGCAGCACCAGGAGGCCCCCTGTTGCCTGGTCATGTGGTCACTTCCCACGTTTCTTGCTCTGTGATCCTGTCTGCTTCTGGCCTCCTTGTTGTCGATGCCGTGGGCAGACTCTTGTAAGCCTGGCTACTGGTGGTTATTTGGGACCCTCAGATGGGGCTGCCTAGGGCGGGGATGGAGCAAAGACCCACCTAACTCAGTCTGTCTCTCTGTGTCCCTGCTTCTGTCTCTTGCTACCTCCTTCAGTCTCTGTGTGTGTCTCTCTCTGCCTCTATCATTCCAAAGGACATGTTCTCCCTCTTGGACAAGTTCTGCTACATCACTCCGGGCAAACTTCTTTCCCACACAGAGCCTCAGTTTCCCCATCTGGACACTGCAGGTGGGTGGAGGTGGGAGGCTTGGATTTAGTAGCCTCCAAGGGCCTTCGAAGGTTTGCCATGCAGTGTGGGGCCTCCCCTGGGCCCACCCCCTGGCCCCTCTCCCCTGGGCCTCCCTGTGCAGCTAGGGGCTGAGTACAGGGGGCCCAGCAAGGGGGGTGCCCCCCCCCACATTCCGAAGTCCCAACTCCCCCGCTTCCCTTCCCACAGCCGCCTCCACTTCCTGTTGTGCTTGTGGGAGCCTGTGGGAGTTCTCTGGGCTCTGGCTTACCCCCTCTAACTCCCCCACGCCTTTCATCACGCTTTCCCAAATATTTGTCCTGGCAGATAAGAGCCTGGTATTGGAACTGTCACCCGGAGGACTGGCTGTTGGAGCTGGCAGGCCGCTGGACGCCATCCAGCCCAAGTCCCCCATCCCACTGTACATAGAGAGAAACTAAGGCCCAGAGAAGCCCGGGTTCAGCCAAGGCCACTGGAGAGGTAGAGGCAGAGACAAGGCAGGGTCCAGGCACCCCGAGGCCAAGCCCCATGCAGGGGGAGGGGACCCTTGGGCATGAGTGCCCTCTTGGTAATGGGACACGGGTGGTTTTTGACTTCAGCCCCATGGACATGGAGACTGGGTGGCCGGGCTGGGCTTTACTCTGCAGGACCTACGTGCTAAGTCAGACTTCGAAATGACTCTGCTCACCCTGAGCCCTGACCCTTGTTTAACTCTGCAGGACACCATGTGGCTTCTGAGCGCCATGCCAGCTCCTGTCCTCAAAGGTAGGTACACCACAGCTTCTGAGTGCTATGCTAGTGCCTGTCATCAAAGGGGCAGGGGGCCCTGGGAGTCATTAAGCAGAACCCTGGAGCTGGAGCTGGCAAGGATGGTGCATGATAGCACCAGGGCCTGGGAGCCCTGCTCTTCACAGCCGTGCTCTTGAACCTCAATTTCCTGCCCTTCTAGTGGCTCTCAGTGGAGACTTTCTTCTATCCTGCCCACTCAGCTCAGAAACCTTGGCGCACCCCTGCTTGTCCAGAGCCATTAGCTCAAATCCATTGTTCAGCCCTCCATACCCCATGGCCCCTCATCGGCTACCCTCACCCCTCTTGCTAACAGTCCCCTCCGTCTCCCACCTCTTCTAAGCACTCATTGGTATCAGCCTGGCTGGTTTGCTTCCGGTCTGGGACTCCCCTCCCCTGCCTGGATCTCTCACTGGCTGTGAGCTCCTAAGGCCTGGCTGGGCTTCTAGCACACCCTTCCCTCACTGCTGCCTGTTACATGCCATCAGTGCTCCAGGGGCTGGGCAGCCAACCAGCTAGTCAATCAGTGGTCACTGGCAACCAGTGACCAGCTGACAGCCTACCGAGGATGAAGGATGGCTGACTGGCTGGCTGAGAACGCATGGGTCTGGGGGACGTGGCTTATAGAACCTTTCCCAGAGGATATCAGCAGGGGGAGGGGAACCAATCACCTGACCTCCCCCACCACACACCCCAGTTCGTTCTGGCTCGCAGTGGCTGCTGAATCTCTCCTGCCTGGTCTGGCCTACTCTGAACTACCTGGCTCCACCCTCCCCAAGCAAGGCCGCCTCTGGGCTTTGGATGGAACCTGGGCAGCCGGGACAGCTGCAGGGAAGGGGCTCAGAAAGTGACCTGGGAAGTAATGCAGGAACTGGAGGCCTGGGAATTGCTTCCCGAGGATTTCCTGATGCCTCCAGAGAACACGGCCACGGCCCGAACGCAGCATAGCTGAAGGACCCTGAGGCTGAGGATGGAGAGGCACTAAGATCAGGAGGCTAGGAGGCTGGAAGGAGTCCCTGAGGACCAGGCACTGCGCAAACAGTGCTTAGGGCCATGAGTTCCAGTCTCTGTTGGATTGGGGAGGTGTGTTCTTCAAGGACAGTATAGATGTGACCTCCCCCAGGGTCAGCCGCGAGGCGAGGTGCTGATGCTCCCGGGCCCTGACATCCGATGCCTTTTCTCCCAAAGGCTGGGTGCTGCTGCTGCCGCTGCTGTTGCTGCTGGGACCACAGGCCTCCTGGGGCCTGGTCGTCACACCTCCGGGGCCAGAGCTTGTCCTCAATATCTCCAGCACCTTCATTCTGACCTGCTCGGGCCCAGCTCCGGTGGTGTGGGAACGCATGTCCCAGAAGCCCCTGCAGAAAACGGCCAAGAACCAGGATGGCACCTTCTCCAGCACACTAACACTGACCAATGTCACTGGGCTAGACACGGGGGAATACTTTTGCACTTACACAAGCTCCCATGGGCCGGAGCCTGCTGAACGAAAACGGCTCTACATCTTTGTGCCAGGTAAGGGCCCTCGCCAGTGAGCTCACTCCCTGACTTCTCTTCTCAGCTGCAGGTGCCTGGGGGAAGCTGGGAGTGCTTAGTGAACATGCTGAGACACAAGCCAGCTTAGAATCCGGCCAGGCTGAGCCCAGGACTATGTTTACTCCCACCCCTTGGTCTGGGTCTCTGACTGCTCCCTGCCAGCCCACCCCATCCCTGGCTCCCAAGAACTGTGCATTCTCAGTAGGCTTCGATATGCTCTCTTTGGGCCTCCACATCCTCTCTTTCCCATTCTCCAAGCTCCAGGTACTAGCTGCCCTTTGACTTGTGGCTTGCCTTCTTTCTTGCCCTCGTGCTGACCATATCGAATGGGAAAGCTAGAAGAGACCTCTGAGAGCAGCCTTATTCTATAAAGGGAAGACTGAGGGCCAGAGAGGGGAAGACACCTGCTCAAGGTCACACACAGAAATTCAGGGGATAGCCAGAAAACCAGCCACCCTGGCCCTCATTCTTGGCTCCACACCTGGCAGATCCCACCATAGGCTTTCTTCCGGTCTTCGCTGAGGACCTATTCATCTTTCTCACGGAAATAACTGAGATCACAATTCCATGCCGAGTGACCGATCCGAGCCTGGTGGTGACACTGCATGAGAAGAAAGTGGATATTCCGCTGCCCATCCCCTACGACCACCAACGTGGCTTCACCGGTATCTTCGAGGACAAGACCTATGTCTGCAAAACCACCATCGGGGACAGGGAAGTGGATTCTGAAGCCTACTATGTGTACAGTCTCCAGGGTGAGCCCCTCTTCTGGCCCGATGCTCAGCAGAGGCAAATGTGACTCTCTGCAGAGGTATAGCCCTTTCCAGTTTACAAAGTGTGCAATTCCGTTTTTCACTGGATTTCACTGTAGTCTTGGAAGGCAGGCAGTGTTTCCCCATTTTACAGATGAAAAATCTGAAACTCAGGGGTTATAGGGAATGTTAGTGGCAGGGTCGGGCTGTACAGTGGGGAAGGCACAGGCACAGGCCTTCGATCCATTTGGGTTTGAATCCCAGCTGTGCATTTCCCATCTGAGTGACTTTGAACAAGGCACACAATCTCCCTGAGCCTACTTCTTCCTCTGTAAAATGGGGGAAATAGTGACTGCTCGCCTAGTGGGATTATTGTGAGGATTAAAGACAGAGGCTACCTGGTACATGGTTGTGCTCCACACATTTCTTCTATACTTAGATGCCCAGAGAATACATTGGTTATCCCTTCTAGAATGTCAGTTCCATGGGGATAGGAATTTTGTCTGTCATATTTACTGCTAAAGCCCCAGTGCTTAAAATAGTACTTGGCATACAGGAATTATTTAATAAATATATGTTGAATGAATGAATCTTCCACACCAGTCATCTCTTCTCTCTCTGAACCCCCACCCTATCCCCAAGATGAAGTGCTAGTGGCTGGTGGTGACCTCCTCAGCCCTAAGCTAATCTCTCTCCATCAGTGTCATCCATCAATGTCTCAGTGAATGCAGTGCAGACTGTAGTCCGCCAGGGTGAGAACATCACCATCATGTGCATTGTGACCGGAAATGAGGTGGTCAACTTTGAATGGACATACCCACGCATGGAGGTAATGCTGGGCCAGGGGTTGGAGGAAGGACCAGGGAGGGATGGATAGCTTGACTTGCAGCCTAACTTCTTGGACCCGGTTTGATTTGGGGGGGATTTCTTCACCTGTCCCTACAGAGCGGGCGGCTGGTAGAGCCAGTGACTGACTTCCTCTTCAATATGCCCTCCCACATACGCTCCATCCTACACATCCCTAATGCCGAGCTTGGCGATTCAGGGACCTACATCTGCAATGTGTCGGAGAGTGTGAATGACCATCGAGATGAAAAGTCCATCAATGTCACTGTGGTTGGTGCGTGCCCTGGGCTTAGCCCCGACCCTCTTTCTGAGCCGGACCTAGACCCTGTCACCGCCCCGGGGTACTGTCAGTCACATTCAAGGACAGCTCTAGCCTCAGTACCAACCAAAGACTATTTCCAGGATAAACCCAAACCAAAACACAATGTCAGTCCCAAATCCAACTCCAGTCCCAGCCTAGGCTTTCTGCCTAGCCAGAACCTCAGCCCCAACCCGATTTCTAAACCTAACTGCCATCCCAGGCCCAGGCAGCCCCATCCTCAAATTCAACCATGCTGCACCTCATCCCAGCCGCAATCCTGAGTCAGAACATGCCCAGTAAGAACAACCCCAGTCCCAATCTCATACCCGGCTCCCAAACCAATATCACCCCTCAGTTCAGGCCCTGCTTCTGCTTCAGTCTCAGCTCCAACGTCAAACCCAGCTCCGTCTCTGGTTCAGCTCCTAAAGCCCGAAGCACCGCCCCCAGAAGGCTGGGTCTCTTTGGGATTCAGTCGATGCCCTGCCTCCGGGAGCCCCGCCTCCAGGAGACACTGCCCTATTGGTAGCCGGGCACGGCCCTGCCCCCTTGGCCCCGCCCCTGACAGCCGCCCCTTGCAGAGAGTGGATACGTGCAGCTGCTGGGAGAGCTGGACGCCGTACAATTCGCCGAGCTGCACCGCAGCCGGACTCTGCAGGTGGTGTTCGAGGCCTACCCGCCGCCTACTGTCATGTGGCTCAAGGACAACCGTACGCTAGGCGACTCCAACGCCGGCGAGATCGCCCTGTCCACGCGCAATGTGTCTGAGACCCGGTGAGCAGCAGCCCACCCACTCCATTCCACAGCCTTCAGTCACCGGGTAAACCTACATGCACCTTTCCTGAGAGCCCGCTATGTGCGAGGTGCCATGCCAGACACGGGGATGCTGCAGAGATCCAAATAGACTGCTCCCTCCCTCCTAGAATTTCCCATCTGTGGGGTTTCCCATCAGACATCGGCCTGATGATCATCTAGATGTTTAGTCGTCCGTGTGATGGGTGGGGCCAGCAGGGAGCCAGCGAAGAGAAAAAGGCCAGATGATTAGGGAAGAGGGTGCCAGGTAGGCCGCTACCACCGATGCATGGATGGTGGCCGGGAGGCTGATGAGCAGACTGATAAAGCAATGCCAGGCCTTTCTGCAGGAGTGAGATGTGGGAGGGGTGGGGGGAAAGGGTCCTTCCCCCACCCTCCTCATCCCACCCAATGCTCCTTCTTGGCTCAGTGGAGCCTAGGTGGGGATTCAGGAGACTGATGTGAGTCCTGGCTTTGCTACCGACACTTGTGTAACTTTGGGAAGCCCCTGTCCCTCCCTGGGTCTTTCTTGTCTGTGCAAGGAAGTTGGGGGGTACCGTACGAGGCCTTCCAGCTCTGGCAGCTGGCCTGTCTTGCTCCCCAGGTATGTGTCAGAACTGACATTGGTGCGGGTGAAGGTGGCTGAGGCTGGCCACTACACCATGAGGGCCTTCCACGAGGACGCGGAAGCCCAGATCTCCTTCCAGCTGCAGGTCAATGGTGAGGAGCCCTCCACCCTGCCTCCCCCTCAACCCCTGCTTCCCTCAACTCCCCCTCCCTACACTGTCCACCCACCCACAGGAGGAGCAGGAGCAGGAGAGGGAGCTGAGGACTCAGGAGGAGGCTGGCTTCTAGGCTGAGCTCCAACACTTCCACTGCTGGGGGAACTCAGAGTATCCCCTCTTTGGTCTTCAAGCTATACAAAGAGGCCACTGGGCTAGAGTGGTGTTTCTAAAACCTCAGGCATTGGCATGCCAATGCCCTGACTTTTCCTCCTCACAGACACTTACTCTATACTACTAATTAGATAGATATTTATTGAACAACAATACACCAGTCTATTCAAGTTTCTTGTGTCCCTGCCTTGGGGCAGCTTGTATCCTGCTGGAGGAAGACAAACAGTCCACAGCAGGCCCAAAACCCCAGCAACTTACGTAGAAGGTTAGAAGGTAAGGAGTGCTGTGGAAGAAAAGACGCTGGGTAGATAGGACTGAGAGCTCGCGGGGCACGAGGCAGTGAGGGTTGCAGTTTTAAATAGCCTCATCAAGTTGGCCTCGTGAAGGCAACATTTGCGTGAAGACTTCAAGGTGAGGGCACCAGCCACGTGGCTCCTGGGGAAAGGGCCCACCAAGCAGTAGCAACAGCAGAACAGCAGAAACACCCAGCAGCAACAGCAGAAAGCCTGTGTGGCTGGAACAGAGAGGGGGAAGGGGTGGGAGGTGAGGTCCAAGCTGATGCCTGGTAATTGGGGGCTGGGAGAAGGGCCGACTGTACAGTCCTCTAGAGGCCCCGTATGGACTTTGGCTCTTAACTGTAACTGAAATGGTCAACCACTGCAGGGTTTTTAGCAAGGGAATGACACACTGATGACTTACTGTTTTGTCAATTGACTGTCTAAAAATAAAGTTATTTTGAAAGAGAATGTAACCTCTCAATTGTAGATGGAAAATCAGCGTCACATGTCACAAATTTAAAGCAGCCACTAAAATAAACTCTGAGAAAACAAAGCAATGCTATTAAATTCTAGTTCCGCGCTCTCGCTTTCCCAGGGCTTTCTCTGACCCTCAGACCTGTTCCCTCTTTGTTAAAAGGGAAGATTAGCGAGTCTCAGAGAGGTGTTAGAGACAGACTAGCACCCCACTGAGGCTTTCCCTTTGAAGTATCCAGAAGGGGAATCTGTCAGTTTTCACACAGTGATTCCTGGTATTTAATGTTCACCTGCAGCCTGAGGCTCCCTCATCGCAGCCCCCCCCCCCCCCCCCGGGCCCCAGGGAGACCCTGGGCCAGGTCCTCCCTGACTGTCCTTTCTGACCTCCCCACCTCCTGGCCTCCTGCTCTCTCCACACAGTGCCTGTCCGTGTGCTGGAGCTGAGTGAAAACCATCCTGCCAGCGGGGAGCAGACAGTCCGTTGTCGCGGCCGGGGCATGCCCCAGCCACACCTCACCTGGTCTACCTGCAGTGACCTCAAAAGGTAAGCAGACCTGGGGCCTCTGGGGGATCCTGGGTGGCTCAGTTGCCTAAGCATCCGACTTCGGCTCAAGTTATGATCTCACGGTTCATGGGTTCCAGCCCCGCGTCGGGCTCTGTGCTGACAGCCAGCTCAGAGCCTGGATCCTGTTTCGGATTCTGTGTCTGTCTCTCTCTCTTTGACCCTCCCCTGCTCACGCTGTCTCTCTCTCTCTCTCTCTCTCTCTCTCTCTCTCTCTCAGAAATAAATAAAACATTAAAAATTAAAAAAAAAAAAAAAAAAAGACCTGGGGCTTCTGTCTCCCAGGGTAACCACAGCTGGCCGGAAGGACCCAGTGGAGGTCATCTAGATCAGCCCCTTCCTCTGGGCACACTATTCCAGGCTGGAGCCCAGTCCTAGGAGATGTGGCTTCTTGAAGAGTCTCTATATGACCTAAAGTGTCCGTTTCCTTACCTTGACTCAGATGATCAAATGAAGGAGTGGATTTTGCAATCCAGAGCGCTCCGTTCTGGGGTAGGAGCGCCCCCTGCTGGTCAGTCTAGGGGCCACAAGAGGACTGAGCTCAGGACCAGGCAGTGGGAAAGAGCAGGAACTGGAGGCGGGGTGCAGGGCGGGGAAGGGGTGAGGGGAGCCTCCTTCCCCCACCGCCCCGTGGCGCTGCTTGCTTTTGGCTTCAGTGTCCCAGTCCGAAGAGGGAAGGGACTGGACTGGAAGCTGACCCGACTGGCTTTCCCGGCAGATGTCCGCGCGAGCTGCCGCCCACGCCCCTGGGGAACAGTTCCGAGGAGGAGAGCAAGCTGGAGACTAACGTCACGTACTGGCCTGAGGATCAGGAGTTCGAGGTGGTGAGCACACTGCGCCTGCGTCGTGTGGATCAGCCTCTGTCCGTGCGCTGCACTCTGCACAACCTGCTGGGCCACGACATGCAGGAGGTCACCGTGGTGCCACATTGTGAGTCCTGCAGCCTTGGTGGCCCCCGAAGACCGTTCGCCCCCACCGCGACCCTGCCGTACTTGGATTTGTGCCTGTGAGCTCAGGGGGCTGGAGTCCGCGTGTCTGTGGGCACTCGGGGGCAGTGTGAAGCCCACCAGAGTGTGCGCTTACACAGCCACACAGCAGCACAGTATTGGCACACGTGTCCATCCGTGAGCGTCTGCCTGTAAACCATGGCTACAGTGGATGCTCGCTAGATGCATGGCATAAGCCATGTGTATGAGCAGCCCTGATCCTTGCACGTGGGTGCAGACCTTCCAAGTGTAGATTTCTAACCCACTAATGAAGAATGCCCAATCCCCAGACACACGAGCGTAGCTGGAGTGTATGCCTACAAGCATGCATGAAACCTGCCTTTATGTGTCCACCCACCGAGCGCATGTTTACAAACCATGAATGTGAATCTGCCCAATCCCTCATCATATATGTAGACCTATGAGTGTATGTCTGTATGCATGTACGTGTGCACGCACCATTCCCATGCAAGTGTGCAAACGATGCACGTACTATCTCTATGCATGTGGGCGTGTCTGTAAGCATAGAGTTACAGCGTACCTCTCTGTGGAAGAAAGCGTGCAAACACAATCAGTGTACCGAGGCCCACTGCACAATGCATGTCTGTGAGCAGATACACAGATGTGCATAATTCTTGTCCATGTGAATAGTCTCTACCAGCACCTGGATGCTTTTGCTACCTGCTAGTCCCTGTGCATGAATATACCTGTCTGACTGTACTTCATTTACCCACTCGTTTCCTTCTTCAGTCAATAGTAATGTAATAGTAATAGTAACATAATAGTAATAGAAATGTAATGGTAATCTCCAGCTTCTCACTGGAGAAGGCTCAGCCCTGCCTGCCCTTCTAGTGCCCACAGCCCAGAGAGAAGGCAGAGAAGGAACCAGGCAATCCCACTGCAGGAGTCAGTACTTTGGGGGGAAAGCCTAGAGGGAGGAGGGGCTCCATACCCAGCTATGGAATTCAGGAAAGTGTCCTGGGAAAAAGGAAGCTTTGGGTCAATACCTGAAAGATACCTGGGAGTCAGCCTGGTGAGGAATGTTGTCCCAGTAAAAAGGTATGGCCTGTGCAAAAGCCCAGAGGCAAAGTGGGATCAGAGAAATCTTGGCTGGAGCACAGAGTGTGTGTGTAGTTAGGGGCTGGAGAGGGGAGACAGAGTCAGGGGAGTGGTCAGGGAGGGGTAGGCAGGAGCCAGTGCAAGTGGAGTGTGAGGGCTTCGTGAGGCATTGTGGCAGATCGGTGGGCTTGCACACACATGTGCCTCTGACACACAGCTGCCTCCAGCCCCCTGCCCTGGGATGGGATAGGGGGAGGCTTTTATACCTTATCTCATTCACACGCGTGTGCACACACGTGTATCCCTGAGCAAGCGGGCACCTCCAACTTGGAGCAGGACGGAAGTAAAGCTTTTACGGGCCACCTGGAGGGGAAGCTGTGTAGCAGCTCACAGGGAATCTACCATGATTGGATGAAGCCTCTTCTTTGTTCTCAGATGGCTTCTTGGAAGATTCAGTCTTCCTTCCGGGGACTGGGATGTGTGACCTGGTGGGGACAGGGAGGAGAGCAGTGATGTTGGTCTGCGACACTGGGGAGGAGGGATAGGCCTCCAGAGGAGCCGAGAGGGGCAGGTGGGAGACAGAGGAGCAGGGAACAAGGTCCTCATGGACCCCATGGGTGGCCAGTGGGTCAGGGCAGGGCAGATGAGGGTCTGGGCTGGATGGATGCAGAGGGAGGGGGAAAGAATGAGAAGTTGTGCAGCCAAGAGGCTGAGGCCTAAGGGAGGAGACTTGGGGCTTGGGGGCCCAGAGTTAGACCTCCTTGGTTACCCCTGGTTCCTGGGGGACGCACCTTAAAACTCCTGTCGCTACCTTAATGCTGCTGGGTATTCCGAGTGAAGCAGAGGAGGAAAGAGCCTGGATTCATCAGGCTGTGGGAGCTCAATCACTCAGTCCATTGGCCCCTTGGTCAGGCTCTGTCCCAGCTGTGACAGCCCAGCAAGGGCATAGATTCAGAGGCCAGGTGAGTCCAGTCATCAGGAGCTGGGATCCAATCTGGAGCCATTGGCAGACACGTCAGGTCTGGTCAGACATGTCAGACATGGGTCAGGCCAGACTGATCCCTGCAAGAGCTCAGGAGGATGGGGGCCCGCAGTGATCTGAGCTGTTACTTACGGGCACTAGTACTTATGGGAGATCCTGAAGGTCTGGCTCAGAGGGACTGGCTGTGAGTCTGACCTCACAGGCCGTGGTTAGTGGAGAGGGGGACAGGGAGAGGGGATTTGTGTTTCCAGTGGTGGGGTGAGCCCAGCTCCCTCTTTGCTTATGGCCGGCTCTTGTCTCCACCTCCAGCTCTGCCTTTCAAGGTGGTGGTGATCTCAGCCATCCTGGCCTTGGTGGTCCTCACAGTCATCTCCCTCATCATCCTCATCATGCTCTGGCAGAAGGTAATCTCCCACTCTTGCCTAATGGGTGCAGACTGGCACACTGGTTTGTTTGTTTGTTTGTTTGTTTGTATGGAGCACCCTGCCATCTTTGAATGTTGCAGGATCTGTCCACATCCTGGCACACAGGGCAGGTGTAAAATGATGGAGAATGATACCGGTGTCGGAGCTGCCCCCCGACCCCAGCAGCAAGGGCCATCTTGGGCCTGGTCCAGCCATCGGGGGTCCCCTGCCTCTGCTCTGCCCTCCTGGGTCTTACTTGGATGTCAGCCCCACCCATCCCAGCCACAGGGCGAGGCACTTTCTGGGTGGACTTACATAGACTCCAGGATTCTTCCACCTTTTACCCCCAGAGACCCCCCCCCCGCTCCAGGATTCTAATGAAATGCATTCCAGTCCCATTAACCTTTCATTTCAATGCCCTGTTCTTTAAAAAAAAATTATTTAATGTTTATTTATTTTTGAGACAGAGAGAGAACATGAGTGGGGGAGGGGCAGAGAGAGAGGGAGACACAGAATCTGAAGCAGGCTCCAGGCTCCAAGCTGTCAGCACAGAGCCCAACACGAGGCTCGAACCCATGGACCGTGAGATCATGACCTGAGTTGAAGTCGGATGCTTAGCTGACTGAGTCACCCAGGCGCCCCTCAATGCCCTGTTCTAAGGTTTTATCATTCTACAATCCCAATGTTTTAAGATCCCTGAGTTAGGATCAGCACCCATGATTCTATTGTTCTGAGATTTCAACATCCTATGGTTTTGCCATTCTAAGCTTACATCTTTCTGAGACTCCCACTGAGAGTGACCCGGCACAGGAAGGGGCTGTCCATGACCAGTCGAGTGCCCCTAGCCCGTGTCAGTTTCTGAGGCTGCCTGCCCCTCTGCACTCAACTGGGGAGCACCCAGGCTCTGGGAGAAGCTGGTGAGGAGATTCTGATGAGCCGGGCCCTTGGCCGTTAGCCGCTCTTCGGCCATGACCCCACTACGGCCTCTTGGCACCAGTTCTCACTGAGCCCATGGAGCGGAGCTGTATGAGTGACTTGTGGGACTTCAAATACGTCTCCCCTGCTCCCTGGGCCTCAGGGCTCCTGCTCCTTGCTCCTTAAGAGGCTACAGGCTAGCGGGCCCAGAGCCCAGGACGCCTTTAATGATCCCTCCCCGGTGTTGGTCCTACAGAAGCCGCGTTATGAGATCCGATGGAAGGTGATCGAATCTGTGAGCTCTGATGGCCACGAGTACATCTACGTGGACCCTATGCAGCTGCCCTATGACTCTACCTGGGAGCTGCCACGGGACCAGCTTGTGCTGGGTCAGTGCAGGGAGTGGTCGTGGGCAGTTTGGGTTTGAGGTGGGTGGGAAGGGCATCTGAGGTGTGGTCCAGCCTTACCATGACTAGCTCTGAGACCTGGGGCTGCTGTCCTGCCTTCTCTGGCCCTCCGTGTCCCCCCTTCATACAATGGGGCAAGGTGATCCCCTAGGGACCGTTCAGCATCGAGGTCCTATGATCCTGTGACTATGTGAGCCGGGACCCCTTTGTGGCTCGAGAGGAAGTATTAATGGAAGACAGGCTGCATGCCGGGACTGAGCTTAGTCTAGCTGGAGAGGTTGAGGCATGCAGAGGAGCTGAGTGCCCTTCCGGGGTAGGAGGAAGCCTTCCAGGGACAAAAGGTGGACCCGAAAGCAGGCAGAACTTGGATGAGACACCAGGAAGGCCTGCCAAACACTGTGGTGTCAGGAGGCTCCTTCACTTGGGGACACTTTAAGTCCAGGTGGCTTGAGGGATTGGCCTCCGGGAGGAGGGGGGTACCATTTCCTGGTGGGCAGGAACTGAGGGACTGCCTCTTCCCCAGGACGCACCCTCGGCTCCGGAGCCTTCGGGCAGGTGGTGGAGGCCACAGCTCACGGCCTGAGCCATTCCCAGGCCACGATGAAAGTGGCGGTCAAAATGCTGAAATGTGAGTCCCGGGAGCCTGCCCCTCCCTTGCATCTGGGCCCCTCACACCCCTGCCCCTTGCCCGCACATCCGGGCACTCCCTGATTCTGACTTGCTGGGCACTAGTGGTCTGGTCACCTGGTGGCCAGCACCACTCTGGATTCTGCCTTGTCCAAGAGCCTTCCTCATTCTGTCCCCTCCTCCTGCTACCTCCTTCCTTCCCTGACCTTGTTCTCATCTTCTTTCTCCTCCCCCTGCACGTGGGTCCTCACCGCCCTAGGCCATCTGGGTCTTCCAGCACAGGGTGGGGCAGAGGGGCTTCCTTGGGGCCTCAGGGACAGGGCAGGCCTGAGGCCCCATCTCCCCCTCAGCCACAGCCCGCAGCAGCGAGAAGCAAGCCCTCATGTCGGAGCTGAAGATCATGAGTCACCTTGGACCCCATCTGAACGTGGTCAACTTGTTGGGGGCCTGCACCAAAGGAGGTACCAAAACCACTCCCCCAGAGGATTCTGGAAAATGCCAACAGCCCAAGCCCAGCCCCTCCCCACCCCTCCTCAGTCCACAGACAATGGGACACTCCAGCTGGAGGGTCCGCACCCATCCTGTCCAGTGCCCTCACCTCACAGACCCACATGGGGGTGGACTTTACAAACTCACAGAATCACAACACCTTCAAGGGCCAAGGACTCCTTGGGTCAGCCATTTCCAAACCCGGGAGTCCTCTGATATTTTTTTTTACATGTTGATTTATTTTTGAGAGAGAGAGAGAGAGTGTGCATGAGCGCACATGCAAGTGGGGGAGTGGCAGAGAGAGGGAGTCAAGGGATCTGAAACGGGATCTGAGCCATCAGCACAGAGCCCCTTGTGGGGCCTGAACTCTTGAATCGAAAGATCGTGACATGAGCTGAAGTCAGATGCCTGACTGAGCCAGCCAGGCGCTCCGGGTCCTCTGACGGTTTTAAATTTTCACAGTACATTTTACAAACTAACAAATCACAAGCCCGGTGAGGTGAGTTATTTCCCTACACTTGGAGACCACCAGCAGGCTGACTGGCAGTGACTTTCATTTCAGATCATGGAATAAAGCCTCTCCAGCCGGTATGTTTATTTGAAGCTCTGATTGTAAGTTAGGCTGTAAAAAAAACAAAAACAAGTTCTCGTTGTTTGCAACTGTTTACTGTGAGATTTGGAATTTTCCTCAGTATTGTGCAACTGAAATAAAATACAGAAGTATGTTGCATACATGGGCCAATTCGTGTCCGCAAGATCACCCCTTTCAAAATTTTTGTTCTCATCAATATCTTCAAGTTCCCACGGACTGAGTCCAAGTAAATGTATTGTATTTCAATTTGTCCAGGAACCTGATAATGAATAGTTGCCTTGACTTTATATCCTGGGCCCCAGAATAAGTAGGTGGTATCTATACCATGTGCTTGCTAGGTGCCAGGCCCTGAGCCGTGCTGACAAAGGCGTTCTCTTATGAACATTCATGACAGCCCTTGGAGGTGGGTGTGATCGGTCCCATTTAACAGATGGGGCAAATAAAGCTCAGGGAGAATAAGTATGTGGCTTATGGTCAGGGAGGCATGTTTGCCTGGTGCTACAGCCCCTTGGCCGTCTTACCCGACTGCCTTTCCAATGTGCAGCCTGTCATCGGCCTCAGGGCCCCCATGGGGAGTCTGTGGCCTCCCAGGGACTGTTGCTGAGCCTGTCCCTCCGCAGGGCCCATCTACATCATCACGGAATACTGCCGCTATGGCGACCTGGTGGACTACCTGCACCGCAACAAGCACACCTTCCTGCAGCGCTGCTCGGACAAGCGCCGCCCGCCCAGCGCCGAGCTCTACAGCAACGCCCTGCCCGTGGGGCTCCCTCTGCCCAGGTACAGATGCTGTCTGGGGGCCTGAACCTTTGGGGAGCCCAGAGGAGCACCTGCTCACTCCCTTCCTGCCGGAAGCTGAGGCCGTGGGGGGTTAGCGGGGTGTAGACAGGGCGTAGGAGCCAGGGATCTTTCATAAGTCAGTCTGAGACCCTGGGCTTGGCCGCCCCAGACCTGGCCTAACACTCTGGTCATGGTCATGGTGGGATGGGCTGCCACCTATGGGCTGTCTGCAGGGGCCTGGCCCTGTGCTGAGCACTCTCTGTGGATGTGACTCCTGGGTCCCTCTGTTGTGACACCCTGTCCATCCACGGTGAACACCTGGGGCCCTCGGCTCCCAGGCCCCACTCCCATCGCAGCTCACGGTGTTCTGCCCGCTGCTGGGCACACCAGTCTCTAGCGCACAGTCTCTGGTGGGCGGTGTCCCATGGGCAACGCAACGCCTTTCTTCTCCAAAAGTAACTTTTCGTAGCGCTGCTGATGACAATAGCAAGATGTGTTCATTGCTGAGACAAGACACACTTCAGAAAGTCATTCAAAGACATGACGACTCACCCCTGTCCTTCTCCAACATTTGATGGATTTCCTTCCGGTCCTTGGTCGGCTTCTAGAGACACGTGCACACGTGGCCCCGTAGCTCTCCGGGAGCTGGTGCTGCGGGGCTTTGGGGCAGTTCTATGCCCACGCTGGGCTCTGGCTGGAGCCTCCCGGGGCCTCCGGGGCCTCACGGCCGGATGTGGAGGCCACAGAAAGGCACCTTGCTCCACGGCTTTCTTATGACCCTCGTGCTTGGGTGCTGTGATCAGGCCTAGGCATGAGCTCCCTGGGGACACAACTGCGTCTGTGTCCTCTTAGCACCCCAGGGCCCAGCTTAGGGTCCCACAGGCTGGCGGAGAGAGCTCACTGCATGGCCACTCAGGCTGTGACTAGCTGTAGGAGGAGGAGCAGAAAGAAGAAGTCCATGGGCGACAGGGCCTGGTGGGCCCCCGGGGTGAGCAGGGCCGGGAGGGCAAGGAAGAGGAAAGCCCGTGGCCTCTCTTGTGAAGTTCCTCTCTGCCCCAGCCATGTGTCCCTGCCTGGGGAGAGTGACGGTGGCTACATGGACATGAGCAAGGACGAGTCGGTGGACTACGTGCCCATGCTGGACATGAAAGGAGGCATCAAATATGCAGACATCGAGTCCTCCAGCTACATGGCCCCTTATGACAACTACGTCCCCACAGGTGGGTACGCGCCTGTGCACCACCCCCTCGTCTACGTAACCCTGCATTCTCATCAAAGCCTTTCTTACGCCCGGCCCCGCAACCACCCTGGGAGGAAGGCGTCCTCGTACCCATTTCGTAGATGCAGAAACCGAGCTTAGCCGCCTGCCCAGAGCTGCTCTGTGGCAGAACCCCCTTGTGAGCCTCTATTTCTGGATCCAGAGGGGAGGAGGTGGGTTGGAGGAGTACCCGGCCCCCTGGGGCGCTGGCACATGGCAGGTCCGAGGCTGACCTGGTGTCCCTGAGAAGCGGGCAGGTCAGGCTGAGCAAAGGTGGCCCAGGGCTAATGCCAACGGCTTTTCTGGCCGAGGAGAGCACTGATAAGGTAGGAGAGGTTTACATTAGATATTTGGAAATTGTTTTCGTTTTGTGGGAGACTTGGAGGGTTAAGAGCTTTCTGTACTGGCCACGCAGCCTCTATGAATCACAGGGCTGGGGGTTTGGAGGCCATGAGGAGACACAGACAGGAGGTGAACTTCCGCTCTCCCCTAGCTCCCGAGAGGACCTGTCGGGCTACTCTGATCAACGAGTCCCCAGTGCTGAGCTACACGGATCTTGTGGGCTTCAGCTACCAGGTGGCCAATGGCATGGAGTTCCTGGCCTCCAAGAACGTACGTGTGGTTGTGGCGGGCGGAGTAGGGTCATGGAGAGGTGGGCCACCCAGCCCGCCAGGCTCTTCCAAGCACACAGCTCCGTAGGGCAGCTGCGTCCCCTCCAGTAGGTGAGGACGGCCAATGCCCTCGCCGTGTGGCCTCTCGTGCCTGTGCCGTGGTGCATTTCCCCCAAAGCCCTGGAGAGGGAGGTCTTGTCTGACAGCTGCCCCCCGGGCCTCAGCTCCCACCTCCCCCAACCTAGTGCGTCCACCGGGATCTGGCAGCCAGGAACGTGCTCATCTGCGAGGGCAAGCTGGTCAAGATCTGTGACTTCGGCCTGGCTCGTGACATCATGCGGGACTCAAACTATATCTCCAAAGGCAGCGTGAGTACCTTCCCTGACCTGTGGGACCTGGGAACAGGTTCCCTCTTGGTCAGCGTGATTGGCACCTTGTGGTGACAGGCTTTGCCACCAGCTGTGCATGGAGTGGGAGAGAACAGAGATGCTAAGGTTGTCAGGGCGGTGGGGAGAGGCTCCGAATTGCTGGTCATGACGGGGTGGGGAGCCAGCTGTCCTGGGTCCTGGAAAGGCAGAAGGGGAGCTGGCTAAATGTATGTTTGGTGCCCATCCTGCCTGCCCCTCATGTTCCCACTTTCCACAAGGGGACAGTGAACCCCAGAGGTGAAGGGGCTTTAGACCCAAGAGATCTAAGTCATCTGGGTGAGAGCTGGGTGGCACCTTGGCATGTCCCTGGCTCTCTCGCTCTCTACTAACCCGGCCACAAGCCTCAAACGGGATCAGGAAGAAGGGTGGTTCTGTAAGAGGCCCCAGACCCCTGGGGCTATTCCTTAGGGGAAGAGGCTGCCATGTGACCTGCTTGTGGGTAAAGAAACATAGCCTTCTGATCCTCTGGCCAGAACGGGGATGGGTGTGGGATCTGCGTGCCTGCAGAGGCGGACTCTCGGGACCGGGGAGTACAGTGCGGGGGCCTTACTAAGTAAGGAGGCCAGACCTCCTCCCCCTGCGCCCAGGTGCAGAGGGGGGCTTGGCCCGCCTCATCCTGAGTGCTGTCCTGCCTCCTCCCACAGACCTTCCTGCCTCTGAAGTGGATGGCTCCTGAGAGCATCTTCAACAGCCTCTACACCACCCTGAGTGACGTGTGGTCCTTCGGGATCCTACTCTGGGAGATCTTCACCCTTGGTACCCTTCCTTTTCTCCCAGCCCTCAGCCGCACAACGCCCTGACCGCTCACACCTCCAGCTTGGTGGGGCCATGGGACAGGACCCTGGGACAGTGGTCAGGGCTCTGGCTCGAGTCACAGCTCTGCTGCTTTCTCGCTGCTGCATGACCGTGGCAAGTCCCTTGGCTTCCCTGGGTCTCTTTGCTTCCGCATCTATCAAGGGGTCTGGAAGTGACATCAGAAAGTCTATTTGACTCTGGGGTTCTCTGGTTCTCTGATTCTGGGGACAGCTGTAGTCTCTGTCCAGAGCCTCTAAAGGAGCCTACGTTTCCCAGTGCCGAGGCCACTGCACCCTCTCTCTGTGCCGTAGAGAGATAGGGCACCAGCCCCATTTCCAACACGTCTAAGCCTGTGTATGTCTTGTCTCTCCTCCCTGACAGGTGGCACCCCTTACCCAGAGCTGCCCATGAACGAGCAGTTCTATAATGCTATCAAGCGGGGTTACCGCATGGCCCAGCCTGCCCATGCCTCTGATGAGATGTGAGTGGAGCCTTTGGGAGGATTTCTCTTGGGGGGTGCAAATCACAGATATCCAACTTTACCAGCTTACGGTAAACATAGATTAGTTCCGAGAGCTAGAAAACTCTTGGTATAGCTGGATCTAGGCATTCGGATGCCGCCATCAGGAATCTTTTGTTTTACCTGGGCACTGCTCTCCTTTGCACTAGCCTGGTTCTCAGGCCACAGGGCCACCCCCTCACTGCTTGCACCGTAGTTCGAGTAAAAGGCCCCAAGCTGACTGTCAAGGGCTCAGCTGGGGTCACGTGCCCAGCCATCCAGAGCAGGGCACAAAAACTATGACCAGCCAGACCTGCCCGGGGCCATGTGCTCACCAAGGTCAAGCCCGCGGGACCACCGGTGTGGGGAGGGCCTGCTGAGGAAATGGGAGAAACAGTCCCCATCCACCTGTCCTCTCAACCTCCCTTCAATGCCCACCTGGTTCTGAGAGGCGGCGGAGGCCAGAGTCTCATAGCCAGAGACCCTGACCCCCATGCGCCTCTCCCCAGCTACGAGATCATGCAGAAGTGCTGGGAAGAGAAGTTTGAGATCCGGCCTCCCTTCTCCCAGCTGGTGCTGCTTCTCGAGAGGCTGCTGGGTGAGGGGTACAAAAAGGTATGTTGAGGCAGCGAAATGGAGAGTTCTGGTCCAGAAGTCAGATGCTGGGTACAAGGCTCTGTGTGTCATGCTGGTGTTTGAGGGACCACCTGTAACTTCTTGGGCCTCAATTTCCCTGTTGGTACTAGTAAGGGACGGGCTGGAGCTGTGAGTGGCACTTATCTTAGCGGCACAAGAGTTTTTTGAAATGAAATCCTGCTTGGAAGTCGATGCCTACAGTGCCCTTCCTCCTGTATCCTTCCTCACGCCTGCGCACCCATGCCACGGCCTGGGTCTCCTTCACAAGTCTGAACACCCCCCGTCTACGCGTCTGCGAAGGGCCTGACCACTTGGGCCCTGTTGTGGGCTCATTCGAGGCAAATGAAGCCAGTAGGGCTTTGTCCCCCAGAGGGAGTTCAGGGAGGGGGAACACACGCTCCCTCTCCCCATCTGTTCCAAACCACAGTCCCCCCACCCATGTCTAGTTGCAGCTCAGCGCCCAGAGAGATGGAATGCGTTGTCACCATTCAAAATTTAGGGAAACTGAGGCCCCACTGAAGGAGGTTGGGGCGAGGTGAGAGCCCACACCTGTCTACTCTGAAGTAGGGGAAGTGTGAGGGTCACGGGCACTAGTCTGCTGACTGCCCCCTCCCTGGGGGTCCCTGAGCTCACCCGGTCTTGTGAGATGCCAGGTGGGAGAGCCGCGGGGCTGTGTGGCTTTGGGCAGTCCTCCTTCCTCTCTGAGCCTTATTCACACAGGCAGGAGGGGCCAGGTCAGCATCTCGGGCTAGATGATGCCCACAGGCATTTCTGGTCTGAACATCCCTCTCTCTCGGGTCCTCCCTTCCTGTGGAGCAGAAGTACCAGCAGGTGGATGAGGAGTTTCTGAGGAGTGACCACCCAGCCGTCCTTCGGTCCCAAGCCCGCTTTCCTGGCTTCAACGGACTCCGGTCTCCCCTGGACACCAGCTCTGTGCTCTACACTGCGGTGCAGCCCAACGAGGGTGACAACGACTATATCATCCCCCTGCCTGACCCCAAACCCGAGATGGCTGATGAAGGCCCCCTGGAGGGTTCGCCTAGCCTTGCCAGGTAGCCACTCTGACCTGAGGTCCAAGGCAATAGTGTGCAGTGTGTGTGTGTGTGTGTGTCTGTCTGTCTGTGTCTTTGTGCCATCAGGCTTGCCTTAGAAGTAAGCTACCTAGAGTGAGCACTTATTCCTGCCAGCGAGTAGAAAAGAGAACTGAACTCATTTCTCTGATGATGTCAGGAGGAAAGGGCAGGCTGGTAAGAGACAGAAGGTCTAGGAGTCACCTGCAAGGTTGCTGTTCCCTGGAAAGTGGCCCCCACAGGCCATCTATCCTCTCCTCCCCCTAGGTCCTATCCAGGCCCTACGGAGAGGTAGGCAATTAGATTTAGGCACCCCCAGCACCCTGCGTACCACTCTGGGGTCATTGCCAGCCAGCCCTGTCCTCCAGCACCACGTCCCAAGGGCCCCCGGGAGCCCGGCGTGGTTGTGGGAGGCATGGTGCCCACAGGAGCTGAGGCCAGAACTCAGAAGGGGAAGGAGATTCGTGTTTTTGCTTTTGCCTTGAGATGCGGTGAAGTTACAGGAGGAGCGGGGGCGTGGTTGGAGGAAGGCCCAGCCATTGCCTGGACATCGTGTTCAGACACGATCTTCCCTCAGCTGGAGACGAGAGTCCCACGTGAAGCCAGACCCTCCCGCCCCCAAAACCAGATCCACTCCCTTACGAAGTGGCAGCAGCCGCAGGCTGGGTTTCAGCTCCTGCTCTGCCCCCAGGTGCCAGGAGGCCTGGCCAGGCATGTTCTCTGCCAGGCTCCACCTCTCACGGGTGCTGGGAGCGTGCACAAACTAGAAGGCCCTCTGCACCTTCTTCAAGGAGAGAATGTTCCAGGGCTCCGGGCAGCCAGTGTGCAGAGGAGTTAAGCTCGGAGTCCAGACAGCTTGAGGCGTGCGTCCTGGCCCTGTGTGTGTTCTCAGACAAGCTGCCACCACTCTCTGAGCCTCATTTTCCTCAACTGTAAAATGTAAATGGCAGCGCACATCTATTTGGATCTATGAAGGATCTACTTCAGGAGTGCAGGGAATGGAGATGCTGTTGAGTGAGGACCGGGCTTTGGAGCTAACTGGGTTTTCTGCTCCAAAGTCTCGCTGTGAGATGCAGGCCACTGATAGAACCTCTCTGAGCGGCCCTTCCCGCTTGATGCCTATCTTATGTGGTCCTCACAAGGCTTACATGAACTAATGGGTGTAAGGTGCACGGCGCGAGGTTGGGCCCACAGGAGGCTCTCGATTACCGCCGTTAGCATTTTACTGTGGCTGCCTCCCAGCCCCTCACTCGTGTGCCCTCTCCTCCTAGCTCCACCCTGAATGAAGTCAACACCTCCTCCACCATCTCCTGTGACAGCCCCCTGGGACCCCAAGAGGAGCCCGAGCCAGAGCCCCAGGTGGAGCCAGAGCCACCGCTGGATTCAAGCTGCCCTGGGCCTCGGGCTGAGGCGGAGGACAGCTTCCTGTAGGCGGCTGGCCCCACCTCACCCCGCCTGGAGCTCCCCCTCTACCTCCCAGCACCCAGCGCCTCCCGGCCTGGCCTGGCCTCCCATCAGCTGTCCCTTTCTAGAAAGCTTCTGCTGTGGGCCTGTGGCACCCACCCACTGGGGCTGGCTTAGGGGGCCAGAGGACTGCTGGGGCCATGGCCAGCCCTCTGCCTCTGGGGAAGCCCTGTGACTGGGAGCCGGGGTTCTCCCAGGGCACTGAGTTTCTCCGTCTACAGGATGGGAAAGATGGGCTCGGTGCCCCAGAATCCAGACTCTCTCCCTGGCTGACAGGTGGGAGGCTGGAATCACTAGAGAGATTCTCGAGGTTCCGGAGGGGTGAGTTAGCTTTTTCTCTTGAGCCGGCTCCCCCTCAAGGAGCTGTAGCTTTCTCCTTGCACTTTCACACACCTAAGAGCTGGGGAAGGGACCCTGGCATCCCTGGCTCCTGGTGAGCTGGTCTTGGCCTTGGACAGTGGTGTTAGTCCAGAAGCCACCGCCCCTTAATGCCAGTCTCTGCTTTCCCAGGCCCGAGCCGGTCTGGGGCCATCCATGTTTAATTGCTGTCGCAGGCACTGGGGCGCATCTCCCCACACAAAGTGCCCATGTTCCTGTCTTCCCGGCCCCGTGAGTGCGGGGGTCTTTTTCCTTTTCACCACCAGTCTTACTTCACCCATCAGTCCCAGGGGCCAGGCGGGCCCCACATCTGTGACGAGCGTGCTGATGTGCCTGCCAGAGATGTCCACACGTGTGGACCAGTCTGTGCCTCGGACCCGACACAGGACCCTGGAGCGATCCCTCATGCTCTCTGGACCTGTTTGCCCTGTTGGGAAACGAGCAAGGTGGACTCGTTGACTTCTGGTGCCCTGCCAGCACTAACATTCTAGAGTTTTCCAGGGGGGTGGCACACTTGCCCAGATGAAGCAAAGCCAAATGCCCCGTCCTAGGCATCAGCTGGGGCTGGGGAGATTTCAGACTATGCATCACACTCTGGGCATTCAGGAACCATGCCCCTTCCCCAGAGTCCTGGCAAGTCCCCGAAGGCCAGCTGGCCAGGTCTTGACTCGAAGTGACAGTCAGTGTCTTGGAAAGCCCCCAGCAGCTGCCCCATGGGAAGACTATGGAACCCCTTTCAGGCCCACAATGACCTCTGGAGCCTTCCTGAAAGAAGGAAGGAGGGAGGGCAGAGCAGACCACCTCATGCAGGCTGTCTCTGCAGTACCTGCTGTCCGGGTCTGTGCCACAAACATAATGGACACTGAGTGGCCCGCGGTTCCCCCAGAAATGACAAGAAGGCTCTAAGGGAAGCTGAGAAGGGGTGCAAGAGGCAGATACTTTGGGGGTTGCCTTCTCACCTGCCAGCTGCCCGGTCCCTGAGGGAGTAGCCATGGGTTATGGATTTGTCCCTGCCCAGGCCGCTCACTGCGCTCTCTCTGCCAGCCCCGCCCCAGCCTAGTGGGCATTGGAGGTGCCAGGGGAGCGGGGGCTGTGGCCAAGACTGCTGGCAGGAGGAGAGCTGGGAGTGAGGGGAGGGCAGCCCAGCACCGCCGGGGCACCAGCCCCCTCTGCCCATCCAGGAGACGGAGTGGGTTCTCACTACGGTACCAAAGATGTAATCACCTAGGTTTACAAGTATTTTTAGGACTCACATTAACTCACATTTATACAGCAGAAGTGCTATTTTATATGCCATCAAATTTTCTTATCTGTGTACTTTCTTTTTTTTTTTTTTAAGGGAAAGATTTTAATATTAAACCTGGTGCTTCTCACTCATGGACTTCGTGGTCTCTCGCGGGTTTGGGTCCCTGTGCCTGTGGGGTGACAGACGTGGAGTGGGGTGGATTGGGCTGATCGCTGGCCACAGCATTCCATAGAGGGTCCTTCAGTTCAGAGTCTCATTTCCCTCTGGAAAATGGGGATTTTCACATTCCCTCCACCCCTTGCTAGCAGCTGGAGGGCCTGGACCTTGGGCCTCAGGTTTCCGAGGTGTGAAATGAAAAGGCTCTTTCGGCTCTATGCGCCTGACCCTGGGACTGGCTGGACTGTTCACGGGCTCATGTTGAGAAGCCTGAGTCCCGCCCGCGGCCCCCACCCCACCCCACCATGTGCTTTGGCTTTGGCTTTGGCTGTTAAGCTGGGACACCCCCTGCCCGCCCCTCCTTTCGGCCCGCAGCCCAGGCTGGTATGGCTCGTGAGAGGCATCGGCTCCAGCCCAGATTCTGGGCCCAGGTGAGTAGTGGTTGGGGGAGCGAGAAGACAGAGGCACCCGAGGGTGCCAGAGAACAGGAAGAAGCGAGGAGAAAGGGCAAGCAAGAGAAGAGGAAGAGAGAGAGGAAGGTGGGTGGGGGTTGGGTGCAACCAGGGCGAGGCCCAGGAGGGAATAGGGGCCCAGCTGTGGCTCTGAGGGCCGGGCCGTGGGCTGCAGGCCAGCAGCCCCCAGGCCCCTCAGGACTGCGGCCGCTCAGCGGGGTGGGGTTGGCATGAGCCAGACGTCCCGGTGCCTACTAGCCAGCTCCATCCTGACCACAGCCTGCACGGCCCAGTGCAGGCCTGACAGACCCTGGCAGCGGTACAGGACCAGGGCAACAGAGCTAACAGGGGCCTGGGCCAGAGTGCAAGGGTCTGAGGCCCAGGCTACAGCTTCCTGGCCTCACCTGGGCCCTTCTGGCAGGGATCACCTAAGGCGGACCCAGGTTTCAGCCTGAGATCTCTCATACCTCACTGGGAGATCTTGGCCATCCCTTGCTTTCTCTGATGTGGGGAAGGGGGCATCTCTTTCTGGAACACGGGCACCTCGCTCTAGGAGCACACGCCTCCCTGGGCTGTGGCTGCCGGCGGACAGAGGACTGGAGACATGAGGCAGCTCTGACTCACCGGCCCAGCCGCCGACTCAGGGGCAGCTGACTGGTGCCGAGGGAAAACCCGCCCACTGTGTGTGCTGGCCGCACAAAGCCCACCCTCCTGGGGGTCCTGGTTTCAGAGAACACCCAGAGCCTGGGATCCTTTCCTTCCTGACTGTCGTAGAAGATGAATAAGCCAGTCCCAGGACCTGCCCTGTCAAAAGAATAAACAACCCTCATTCCAGAGGGGGATTATCCTTGCTCGTGGGAAAAGTCTCCGTCTGAAGGTCAGGAGACTGGCTCCCCCTGGTTCGGGCCTGCTCCCGATGGGACTTTGGGTAGATTATACCACACCAGGCCTCAATTTCCCCAGCAGTAAATGGGGCCAACGATGTCACAAAGACAGAAAGCATGACCCAGTGCTGGTGACCACTTATTGAACACTTCCTCTGTGCCAGTCCTGTCCTGTTCCCTCATACCCATTTTCTCGTTTTACCCTCACACCGACCCGATGAGCCAGGTACTACTACTGCCCTCATGTTACAAGTGAAACTGGGATAGAACAGGAGCCTGGGCTTGGCTGACTCCGGACTCAGTGCTCAGGGAGACAGAGCACTGGGCTAAGGTTGCAGAGCTGGGGAGTAGGGAAGCCTGGGTCCCAACCCGTGTCTCCAGACTCCAAGGCTGTCTCGTGCCCAGAGTATGGAAGTGCCGGCTAAGAGGAAAGAGCTAAGTGAAACTCATGGGTTCGAGCCCCGCGTCGGACTCTGTGCTGACGGCTCAGAGCCTGGAGCCCGCTTTGGATTCTGTGTCTCCCTCTCTCTGCCCCTCCCCTGCTCACACTCTGTCTCTTTCAAAAACGAATAAACATTAAAAAAAAAAATGAAAAAAAAAAAGAGCTAAGTGAACCTGAGGGCTAGAGAGAAAGAATATAGAAGGGCTTGTGGAGGGCTTGGACCCCAGAGGCCCCTGTGCAGAGGGGTGTAGGAGTTGGGGGAGGGGAGAACCCTAGGTCACCTGTGCTGGCGCCTGCCTCCCAGGCTTGCCACACACCCAGGCCCAAGGGAACCCGTGAGCTGGAATTTTCCTCCCAGACGGATGAGCCACTTGGACTGCACAGCTCTTCCACCACCCTCCTCACAACCAGGGGCCTTGTTCCTGGAAAAAGAGGGAAAGACCAGAAGGAGCCATTACTCTCGGAGCTCTGCCCTGTAGCAGGGCTCACCCCATCCCCACCCCCCACCCCCGCCTGGGGCGCCTCCTCTGAACTAGGGCACTTCTCTAAAGGCCTCTTTTATTTAAGTGCTCAACGTCACAACGCAAAATCATAAAGCTTCCAGGAGGCTAAGAAAATCAAACAGAACAGTGACGAAAAACAGCATTATTTAATTGTAGCTAGGGGCTCTGGCCGCCTGAACGAAGTCTGGAGTCTCTTCTGTTTGTCGGGAAAAGCCACAAACCCGCGGTATAACAGAGGCGCATGGAGTGGAGACGTTTCCCCCCAGGGAACCAGAGGGCCGAGAAGACCCGCCAAGGCGGGAGCTGTGCGGGGCTCCTGCAGCCTGGCCCGCGGCCCAAGTCCAGACGGCACCCACCTGCTGGGAAACCCAGCTTGCCCTGGTGACCCGGGCCCTGCCTGGTCCCTTGCTGTTCAGAGAGTATGTGCCGAACAGCGGTCCCGTGTGATGCTCACAATCCGCCTGTGAGACAAGCCAGGGGCTGGGTTCCAGATGAGGAAGCCTGAGGCTCAGAGCCACCGGGTACTGGTCTGAGGTCACGCACGGGGGTGGGGGTTGGGGTGCGTTCTGGGCCTGCCCATCTGGTGTGCTTCTGTTGCCTTCCTCAGGAAGTTTCTTTCTTTTCTTTTTAATGTGTATTTATTTATTTTGAGAAACACAGAGAGAGTGCAGTGGGGAAGGGGCAGAAAGAGAGACAGAGAGAGAGAAGGAGAAAGAGAGAATCCTGAGCAGGCTCCATGCTCTGCACAGCCGGAGCCAGACTTGGGGCTCCATTCCACAAACCGGAAGCTCATGACCTGAGCCAAAATCAAGAGTCAGATGCTTAACCGACTGAGGCACTCAGGCTCCCCCCTCAGGGAGTTTTAAAGCTACTTCCTGGACTCAGAGGGGTCAGCAGACTGGGCCCTGGTGTTAGGGTACTGGCTGCCACTTAGGATGTGGCTTCTGGATTCCCTGAGGGGCATGGGGTTGGGGGCTCTTCTTGGAGTGGGGTCTCGGGGCTTCTCTGGACCATGACAGATTCCCACAGCTCAGAATAAAATCTGCTACAGCTGCTTCAATGGCCTGTTGAGGGGGTCCTACCCTGGGCAGGGGGTTGGCTCTTCTTAGAAGCCAGCAGTGACTTAGGGATACCACAGAGGCCAGTCTCTCTCCCTGTGGCGGCCCCCCCCCCCACTGCCTCAGCCCCCCGCCCTTCTCTCTGGGCCTCCAGTGGGATCTTGCCTTCCTTCTCCAACAGTGCCTTATACCCTCCTACGGCTCTTCTCTTCCTGCCAGGCGTGGGGCAGTTCCATCGTCTCTTTCTGGCTGGGGTTTCATGGTAATCACTGCAAGAAACTAGAAGTCGCAAAGATGAGGAAGTAACAGAGCTTCTGGAAAATCAGAATTCTCAAGGGTGCTTGTTCCCTTCTGAAGGACAAGGTGGAAGGTTTCATGCCTGAGAATTTCTCTTCTTTGTTATTGGTCATCCTGAAGCATACCGCGATCTTGACTCTCTTTAGCTCAGACATCTTCAGTGGCTCCCCACGGCCCAACAAACAAAGTCTAGGCACCCCGGTGTGGTCTCCAGGGCCATCCCTGACCAGGTTCCTACTTCGCCTGCTACGTCTCCCACATCTGCCCTCCAGGGCCTGTCTATCCAGCCTTCCAGCTGCACGTGACAGTTTCCTGTTCTCACCCTCGCCAACACTTGCTACCTCTTGTCCTTTTGATACCAGCCACCCTGACAGGTGTGAGCGAATATCTCTCTGTGGTTGTCATTTGCATTTCCCTGATGATGAGTGATGTTGAGCATCTTTTTCTGTACCTGTTGGCCATTTCTAAAGAAAAACATCTCTTCATGGGGCACCTGGGTGGCTCAGTTGGTTAAGCCTCTGACTTCAGCTCAGGTCATGATCTCGAGGTTGGTGGGTTCAAGCCCTACATTGGGCTCTGTAGAGCTGACAGCTCAGAGCCTGGAGCCTGCTTCAGATTCCGTGACTCCCTCTCTCTCTGCACCTACCCAGCTCACGCTCTCTCTCTCTCTAAAAAATAAACATTAAAAAATTTAAAAAAGAAAAAAAACAAAAAAATGTCCATTTAGTTCTTCTGTTCATTTTAAAAAAGATTTTATTTTGGGGGCGCCTGGGTGGCTCAGTCGGTTAAGCGTCAGACTTCAGCTCAGGTCATGATCTTGTGGTTTGTGAGTTCAAGCCCCGTGTCAGGCACTGTGCTGACAGCTCAGAGCCTGGAGCCTGCTTCAGATTCTGTGTCTCCTTGTCTCTCTCTCTCTCTGTCCCTCCCCCACTCATGCTTTGTCTATCTCTCTCAAAATATAAATAAACATTAAAAGACTTTTTAAAAAAGATTTTATTTTTAAGTAATCTCTATACCCAACATGGGGCCCAAACTCACAACCCAGAGATCGAGTCACATGTTTCTCCTACTGAGCTAGTCAGGTGCCCTACTTCTACCCATTTTTTTTTTTTAATGTTTTTACTTATTTCTGAGAGAGAGAGGCAACGTGAGCAGGGGAGGGTCAGAGAGAGGGGGAGATACAGAATCCGAAGCAGGCTCCAGGCTCTGAGCTAGCTTTCAGCACAGAGCCTGATGCGGGGCTCGAACCCACGAACCGTGAGATCACGACCTGAGCCGAAGTCGGACACTTAACCGACTGAGCCACCCAGGTGCCCCCACTTCTACCCATTTTTAAATC